TGGGGGGCTGGTCCGAGGTAGTACGGAAGTGAAATCGCGCGCAGACATGTTGTGCAGATAACGCAGGGCATGTGAGCAGGCTGGATGAGAAATTGTCGATTCATCGTGGGTTAAACAAGGACCCCGCAATGACCCCAGCTGTCTCAAGTGCGAAAATTTCGACATGATTGATCGACGTCGTCAGCAATTTCCGTCTCAACCTTCTGTCCAGAACAATGTTTGAACGTGGATCCGTGCTCAAAATAGATACCATCAAGATCATTAATGAGACTTTGTCACTTGTTCAGAGCCGCTTCAGGGATGCATTTCGAACAAAAAAAGATAACTTGAAGATGTGATGGCTGCGAGCCAGCCTGAGTCTAAACTAGTTAGTTAGTGATGGATAGGTTGGTCCACGTCACACGATAGGCGCGCGCACATAGATAATTAGGAGAGCTCACACGAGTTTACGCACTAAGTCCACTAGTAGCCCACCGACGAGCCTATTGACCTAGGGCTGTACTTATATGAGTGGACTTGGCCGTTGGCTATGAAATGAAATTCACGTGCAAACAATGCCATCCGGAATGATTTAAAGACCGAGCAATGGATCATATCCACACAGTACGTACTAGTTTGCTTTAAGTAGTCTGCTACAACAAACGTTTCAATCAACTCCAACACTCGTCGATGCCATGTCTGCTGCTTTTCGAATCTCTCCAGCCCTATGGGACAAGATTCACCACTTTGCAAGCTTTCCTCAGACCGGCGGTATGTCATCTGATATCAACCCATTGCCCCGGATCTCTAATTGTTGTAATCTACAGTCTCGCTGCAGCAGATGGTACTCTTCGGTCAACATCCAAGTCAGGGAACTCTCCTCAAGGCGAGCCAGTTCCTCGCAGGTAACTTAATCCTTCTCTAGGCCTCAAACTCATTCTGACATAATCGTATTCACCCCCTCAGAAGAGCTCCCCGTCCGCCTCGCGCATCGTGTCAAGGAGCTCGATGAGCTTCCCCACAATCTCAGTGACATGCCTTCCATACGAAAGGTCAAGAACTGGTATGCCCAGTCCTTCGAGGTCCGCCGTAGCCTATCTTCTTCCATCTCCACTTCTAACCGGATCTTATGCAGGAACTCATCAACTTTCCTCCCGTCCAACTTCCACAACACCTTCGCCAACAGCTTTCCTCCACAGGCCAGGACATCTTTTTACCTGACAGCACCCCAAACCCAAGTCTTGCCGCCTTGCAGGACCACGATCACCCTCTCTTCAACTTATCCCGTCTCAAAGGCAATGCAAACGGCATCGGTAACGTCAAGCTCAGGGTCCCTTTGGAACGCAGGTCTGTGCTCCCTTAATCTCCCACAATTCACGCATTCCATGCTCACTTAGTACAAGATATTACGCAAAGTCATCATCCATCGACTGGCCACCCTCCGTCCTTGACTACAATGCTCGTTTCACCCGCATGCTCGAGGCCATCAAACGCAGGCACGACCCTACAGTCACAACGGTCGCACAGGGCGTCCTAGAATGGAAGCGCAGTCAGAAGGCAAAGAACATTGGCCTTGATATACAGGCTTGGCTTGATAGATTCTACATGAGCCGTATTGGTATCCGCTTTTTGATCGGCCAACGTGAGCTGTTCTTAGTTCTTTTCGTTGTCATCATCTGATCTCCGTTGCTTTCTCTTAGACGTCGCACTAAACACGCAACAGCCACACAAAGACTATGTAGGCATCATCTGCACTAAAGCTGTACGTTGCCGTTCTCTGTCTTTCCCCATTCACTAACACCCTTCTTCTGCCGCAGAATGTACATGATATCGTACAGGAAGCTATCGAAAATGCCCGCTTCGTCTGCGAGGAACACTACGCCATGTTCAAAGGCCCCCCTGTTCAACTTATCTGCCCTCCCAACCTCATCTTCCCCTATGTCCCAGGTCATCTTTCCCACATCTGTTTCGAACTCCTCAAAAACTCCCTCCGTGCTGTCGTCGACCGCTTTGGCCACGATGCACAAGACGACAAACCATACCCACCCATCAAAGTTATCGTTGTTGAGGGCAAGGAGGATATCACCATCAAAATCACCGATGAGGGCGGAGGAATTCCGCGTAGCGCCATTCCCCTCATTTGGACATACATGTATACGACTATGACGGGACAGAGCATTGATCAAGACTTTCAAGCTAGCGATTTTCAAGCTCCGATGGCAGGATTTGGATATGGACTGCCATTGTCGAGACTGGTAAGTGACGTGCGCGTTTGTCGGGGGTTTGCGCTGATGTGTATCGTTGACAGTATGCGAGGTATTTTGGAGGTGATTTGAGATTGATATCTATGGAGGGATATGGCACGGATGTGTACATTCATCTCAATAGGCTTTCGAGTAGCCGGGAGCCTCTTCCGTGATCCGCGTGCGCCTGCCTGGTTGATCTTATTTGCGGTAGAAGAGCTTTGTATACAATATAGTGAGGGACCTACTAGTAGATCCACTCGATAAGTACTAAATGTAGTTTACGGTATACTGGCTCAGACTGACGACAGCTTCACGACAAGCATTATGATGCTGCATTTAATGCATTGTATATATTTTCATAGGTAGCATAGCACACGCACAGCAGAATCAAAGGTTGAATGATTCCTTCAGCTGACATGGGGAGGGACAGACCTGGACCACATACATATGAGTCTACGTGTTGCATGCTTGTCGCACTGATAGCAAGGTGCAGGGGCTAGACTCTGTGGGAATAAAGAGTTATCTAAGGACCGATCAGATCGTCCTCAGAGTACCATCCACAAGGCAGAACTGGTGTGACCGTTCACATGCGTCCGGTCCATACGAGCCTCTCTTCGTCCGCGTCGACATTAAAAGCAACACTAATAGTACTGCTTGTAGCTTTGAAGACGCAGCGGGCCCGAACAGGGGTTCCACAGATGCAATTTGGAGACGGGCCGTTGATATCAAACCCGCGTTGACATTTGCAGAACTTTTGACGAGCACTTGAAGGTACTCAATAGAAGGATCTGCCAACTAATTGAATGAGAAATGCAGGAATAGATTGCGTGACGACGTCCGCCAGCTAAGGGGTTCTCGACATACTTACCTTGACCCGTTGGCGCTCGAAATTATCTGACATCACTAACACAGTCATCATAAACCTTGAAGGACGATGCACTGGGTTAACGTTCTACGCCGTGCCAACCACCAGGTCTATGCCGCTTATATGTTAAGCAGGAACGTCTATAGCTGATCGTATTATGCACCTCAGAGGTCCACTTTGCCTATCAACACAGCGCCTTCTTGTTCCAGTATATTGTTATTGTTGCAACAATCTGTACCAGGTAGTTCAACTTGAACAAGGACCTTCAAACTGTTTCAATCGCATCCCGGGGCCGGATCCGCCCCTGTTCGGGTTCAAGTCGCCAAAGTCACCACGCCATGACCGTCGGTAATCGATAACCGACTACCACAGACCGATCTTTTGCGCAACTTACCTCAGTACGTGGAAGAAAGCCTTATGTAAAGTGAAGCTTGATACCAGTCAGGCGCGAACAAGAGCCCGACCTTCAACGTTCAGCCTGTCGACTTGTTTAGTTATGGAGAAGCGAAAAGAACGTGCCATGAGCGAAAGAGTGATCACGAGGTCTGCAACCTCTGACTTTTGCTGGTAAATCATTCTGAAAGATTCATCATTGATATTGCCATAATTAAGTATTCTCCAAGTTGTTAATACATGCCAATGCCATAGTTATGTGTTGAACTGACTAGGCAGGATGTAAGCAATCAGCATAAATACTGTCCACGATAATGATTAATAAGGGATGTGACAGTCTTGACTACTTACACAAGGTCATGCAGTCCTTAGTGAACGCACTGGCAGGACCCTGAAATCTTTTTATAAGTTTTTTTCGCACAAGCATCCGGGTGAACAATAAACATACTACTAGAACAGTCGTATACGTTGTAGGCCGCACATCTCGCACATCCATTTCGAACTGAGCAAAATACCTCCGTGTCGTCGTCGAGAGGCAAGGAAGATATCCCCATCAAATTCACCGACGAGGGCGGGGGAATCTTGCATGGCACCATTCCCCTCATTTGGACTTACATGTAATGTACACGACCATGACGGGGAAGAGCCTAGCAGAACATCGATCAGGATTTCCAAGCTAGTGATTTTCAGGCTCCGATGTGTTGGGTACATGGGCTGCTGTTGCCGAGATTGGTGAGTAGCGTGCGCGTTTGTCGGGGCCGTGCACTGATCGGTGTGTGACAGTATACCAGGTATTCGGGGGGTGGTTTGGGGCTGGTACCTTTGGAAGCGTTAGTATGGAACGGATGTATAAATCCATTCCGATACAGTAGAAAGTACTGCAGATCGTGCTCCTGGAGTTAAGCACATTAGAGGAATCGATGTACACCATATGGGAAGGACTTAATTCCACTCGATTCTGACTGTAACTGAATAGCTCGTTCTCGGGACCAGAGTCCAGACCTTACGACACTGTATATTAGTGCAATGTACACGGTACCATAGCCAAATCGAAATGCAAAGAGAAGAATAGGACCATGAAGAAAGTACTCATATACAAGGACAGCGTCAACGCGGAGTTTGTCGGACAACGTACATATGTTTACATGTTGCATGCGTGTATAGCGATGTTGGGGTGTGGCGATAGCATGTGCGATGCGAGAAACAGGATTAGAAGAGAGCCAAGCAGGGGGTATTGACAGTATCCGTGTGGGAATCAAGAGAGAAAACTAACAAAATCAGTATCACCCAGGCCCGTCCTCAGAGTGCCATGTACGCTTGAGGGATGTCGAAGTGGGTAAGCGGATTGCAGGATTCATGTGCGCCAATGACGACGACAATGCAGAGCTCGCGTGGCCACCCATGACCGTCGACCAGTCAGCACTATCATGTGGGTGGACCAACGTCGAATGTTGGTGTTGGTGTTGTTCTTGGTGTCGTTGGTGTTGCTGTTCCTGGTGGTATTCCGGCCCACGCACCTCCAACGCATCAACTTCCTCACACAACCTCTGATTCGCAAATCGCAACTGCTGCAGCTCATACTGCCAACTACTCCCCCGCGTGGTATCTAGCTCATCAAATACATCATTAGCCTCGGCGTGAATCAGCGTATCGGAGCTACTCGAGTTGCTGAGCATCGTGATTTGTATGACGAGCGGTTGAGCGAGCGATGTGGAGGGTGTTTGGGAGGGCGTCGAGCTCAGGGTTGGGGAGGGTGGACGGTAGATTACGAGCCGCACGTGCATTGTGGTACGATCTTTACGCAGCATCGTGCATACCATTGCAGACGACTCGCCCTCCGCATATCCACGTACCTGCGCCTCATCTCCATTGGCGCGCTGAATCGCCGCCTCCACATGGCCTCGATCCCCACCAATGACCATCGCACCCAAAGACATGCCGATAACCTCACCAACACTCCATCCAAGCATATCGCGCACACTGGCGCTGGTGACAAGTACAGTCCCGTTTGCGCTCACCATGCCCCATACCTCCTGTTTGCCAAGCCCGCCAGCATGGGCGATCGAGCGCCAGCTGAGCGAGGGCATCCATTTGCTACGGCCGGAGAGGATGATGGCTTTGCGACCTTTGCCAGGTTCAACGTGGAGGCGACCCCGGCATTCAATCCAAGTGTATTCAGAGGATTTGGCACGGGCGCGGAAGAGGAGGTCGACTGTTTTGGGTTGGTTAGCTGGATTTGGTGAGCTAGATGGTATGGGGGAGGTGGATTCAGTTGATGGAGTGTTGGGCGTGATAGAGGACTCTTTGAGCTCGCGCATGAGTGGGACGAGGTCTGCAGGGTGGCAGTAGTCAGATATACTCTTTCCGACGAGTTCCTCGGGTTCGTATCCCAGGACGAGGCGCACGCTCGGGGCGACGTAGAGAAAGGCGCCTTTGAGGCTGAGAACGATGATAAAGTCAGGGGATTTTTCGAGAAGGAGCATATGCAGGAGCTGGTTGCCGTCATGAGTGTCAGGCTTGTCAGGAGTGGATGAAGATGGAGGGATATTGACGCTCGTGGAGAGGGGGACTGAAGAGGTGAATTTTGCGTCTGTGATCAGACTACGCAAGTCTTTGCTTAGCACGCTGTTGGACGGCAATATAAGTCGACCCCTCGACGGGGGCCCGAGCGAGGATGGCACCGGTGCGCCTGCGCCCACGGTGTAATTGACTATGTAACTCCCATCGCGCAGTTTCTGCAAAATCGCATTGGGTTGTTCTGTGAGATCGACCTGGAAGCCAACGTGATAGACAACCTTGTCCGCTTCTTCTGGACGGTTTGATATGCCGCCCCTGAGGGGGATCACGGTGACGAGATTGATGAAGGCCTGTCCGCCCTTGCGGTAGTTGGTGATACGGGTTTGGCACTCCTTGTCCGCGGAGAGAGATTTTTTCAAATGCGCTACAGCATCTGGTCGGACAAAGCGACGCTCCTCACCCTTTTGTACGTTTCCATCGGGAGACTGCAAGAAGCGACAATTGCGACCGAGAACCTCATGTTCAGCGTAGCCTGTCAGGCGATAGAAGCTGGGGGAGGCGTAGATGATGGGACAGTCATGGCGACGAACATCGACGACAGTAAAGGAGCAAGAACTATCGACGGGGCCGAGGACGATGACTGGGTGGGGACGGGTGACTACGCGAGAAAGGAGGGAGAGAAGGTCGAAACCAGAAGAGGAGTAAACAGGAAGGCCTATGGGGGATGGTGTAGATAATACAGTTGCAGTATTGAGTTTGAGGATATCTGCGGCTGTGAAGGAGGGATTCGAGATGGCTTGTATTGGAGGAGATGGGGGTGGGTGAGAATAGTCGACCTGGGGATACTGTATAGAATGAGGTACGTTCGAATAGGCATCATAGCAATTGCTCGATTGCGCATTGCTAGCACCAGATGCTGCCTCCACGCTCGCTTGATGTCTCGACTGAGAAGAATGAAAACTATACGAAAAGAGTATTAGAGAATATCACAGGTATTATTTTGTACTCACGGCGCAAAGCCATTGTTTGCAAACCAGGATGAAGCAAACGAACCTGGGCTGCCAAGAAGACCAGCTGGTAGAACCTCCGCACCACCACCTGAGGCTAATATTGGAGGCCCATTGTACATGAACTGAGGTATCTGAAACTGAAGCCCATTAGAGTAAGCATTACCGTCATCGACATTGTAACGACTATCGTTGTAATCGCCGTAGTGATTAGAGTACTGCTCGCTCCGCTGCGGCTCGTTATGTGTTAAATATCGCTCAAAGGGCATGGTGGGCGGTCTTGAACAAGATCATCCAAGAGGAGCAGAACTTAAAAGTAGATTTTGGGGGTTGGTACTTAGAAGAAGCGTTAACGAAGTATCCACCTTTGGAGCTGTGTGCTTGTAATACTTCACGTTAGCCTAACGTTATACATCCGGCTGGCCGCCGTCGCGTGATTAACGGTCTGCTTTTTACCTACTGCAAACATTAAGTTTACCTCACTAACACTCCGTGTAATCCACGTTTATGTAACTCCACTCATTTCATATTACAAATCGCACGATAGTACCTGTTCCTACAATGCAGTACAACAACAAACACCCTCCAGTTTGTGTCACATAACGAATCCTCGCATAGGCATGTAGGTTTTTAATATTTGCCCTCGTTCCCCTAACCATCATCCACATTGGATGAAGTAGTGAATAAAAGGGCAGTCTGAAAGACAAGTACTTTGTCAATTAACCGCGCCATGTCCTTGGTGTGTGAGTGAATGATATCACCACATATCTATATAAGCTTCGAGTCGTGCACACAAATCCTGCTTCGACGGGCTCAGCTGACTCGAATGAGCTCCATCCCTGAACGTCATATGCATCAATTTAAGATATCCCGGATAACCGCATACAATGATACGCACTTCAAAAATCTTATCTCCTCCTGAAGGTTCAAGTAGTTATCACACGCCCCACATTTGTAAAGCCTCACTTCTTCGACACAATAATCTTTCGCTGGCCTGGGAACTTGTACCATACACGGCGGAGAGCTTCCTGTGTGACCGCAGCATTCAGTTCCTTGTAACAGATAGGGAGGATGATCTGCCCGATGTTTACCCGCGCGACAGTGTCGTAAAGCTTCCCCCAGCACCGCGCATACCAGCATGAAGCCTGGTTGGAAAACGTAAAACATATAGCACAAATTCATGCCCGAGTCGTGAACCTATCAGCATCCGCGTAACTCAACACCTTGTTGATGAAAATGATGTGAAATGGGTAGACTCGGATACGCATGTAGAATGAGTCCTTGCCCGATGTCTTGGTCACGGACTTGTTGGCGCAGATGCGAGCTGCTTCAGGCGCCTCGGAACTCAGTTTCTCATACTCATCGGAGACGAGACGAGAGAAAGGAAACCCATCCGGAGGCACGCTTCCGGCCGAGGTCGAAAATTCTGACCTATGGGGACGAGTGAATACGGTCAGTGACGAGGTGTTATGAACGGACCTTGACACCTTGGATTGTGCTAGGATTTGGGGTAAGGTTTGTTCTTACAGTAGCGGTAACAGCAGAGGGCGGGACGACCAATGGTCTTGCAGAGTCACATCCAAGACAATGGGACTACATCCATCCCAACCAATTGCAATCCAACACTCATTTGAGGTAAACGACCCCCAGCGTCTAAGTGTCATCCGACAACCGGAAAAGCAACACTCATATGTTGCATGGAAGTAGGGTGCAATGTTACATGGAAGTGACGGAGTCCTTTTTACCTGAAGTTACAGTGGGAAATCGGATAACCAAGAGATGACAAACTTGACTCGGCGAGCGCCGGAGACCTCGGCGGACCGTCGCATTGCCGTCTCAATAGTGTTGTGCTCGCTCCAAGTGAAGCTTAGATCATAAACAGTATGGAGGTCCCGAGAGTACGTCAGACGGTCAGTGTGCCCTGGGCCTGCCAATATTGTACGCACGAATTGGACAAGAAATTCCGAACCACTGCTAAGACCTCTAGATCATCTTTTGTCATAACTGCGACCGACTGCGACACGACTAATGTTACAAACGATAAATGAAAAGGTAAACAAATTCAGTATTTCATGGTGATCAAGAGAGGCTGATGGAGTGTCGCCTTCAATACTAGAACTATACTCGAGTCTCGAACTTCTTGATTGAATCTTGAATCGCTTTCTGTTTCTCTCCCTCACACATCTCATGGTATTGTGTCGATCCCTGCCACCCTGCCCATACCGTCTCGTTCAATGCGCCCCACCATTCGTCTTTGAACGGGTGTCCTAGTGTGCCAGCATAACCCCAAGGCTTGGCTGCACGAATGGATTGAGCACCGCCACAAGACTGGGATGAACTGGTCCTGTGAAATGCATGACTCCAGGATCCTTCATGTCTCCCAATGCTAGGATATCTCTATCAGCTAAGCTAATCTCTGCATAGGTTCCGAGTCCCTGTGCATTCCAGCTCAGGTTCACTTCGGCCCAATCGCCAGCAAAGTGCACATTCAGCACGTCTTGGTCGCGATAGCGAGCGTCTTTCATCCCGCGCACCCGAGCCGCAAGCTCAGACAGATGCGTTCTTGCCTTTGTCTTGTCAATCAGGACCATGCCTGCGTTGAAGTACCACCTTCGTGAGACGCCATCATGGCCCATTGGGAATCCGACATCCATCGCTGCACCAATCGAGGAGCCCTCCAAATCGGTGTTCCACAACTCTTCCAGGCTCCTACGCACCAGCATGTCTGCATCCAGGTATAAAGCCCGCTCCACTGGCAGGATTTTCAAATTATAGTTATCGAAAATGATTATGCGTCCTTGCACGCAAGGCGCCATGCAAGTTCTGCATCTAGGAGCGTATCATCTGCGCAGTGCGATCCGTCCACCTACACCCAGTCAAATCCAGCCTTTGTATCCCGCGCTATCTCCTCTTCCAGCAGCGCATATAGTGCAGGGACGCTGTACTGTGGGAGTATGCGAAATGAGCGACCTGTCCGTGGAAGATTCTGCGAGAGCTTGCGGTGGCGCTCCCGCAGGAGTATGCATAAGGTCGAAACGGTCGATGCAGACTATCCCACCGCCTTGAGCGCAGAGCGTGATGAGCAGAAATACTACGGAACGCCCTTCTCAGGACCCGATCTCTAAGATACGTGGCTTAGGCGAAGTAACAAATGGGAAGAGGCTTTTCCAGGATGGAATATTATGGGCGAACCAATATTGTGTTGGCGTAAACTCGTACTCATTTGTAGATGCAGATGCAGTTGATAGTCAATATGAGTATCTCAATATGTGCGCGAGGAGTGAAGCTGACCTATGGGTACAGGTGTTATCAACTGGTCCTGGTGCTGTTTCTTGACGCCTTTCAAGATTGGTGATTTATACCTGTCTATGTGTAGCAGGAGTCCATCAGGTCGCCGTATCAAATTTTTATTCCTTACTTTTGGCAAAATCTCATTACCTTTAGGTGGCAGATCTTTGTGGTCCCTGATTTGAACCTTAGGGCGATGGTGGTACTTATCAGGTTCACTGGAATTTTCTATCAGCACTGTTGCATCCCAACCAGTATAAACAGGTATATGTAAATATATTCACATATATGGGGGACCGTCGATCCCACTAATATATAAACCACAGGAAGCCCTCCCTATGTCTCATCTGTCTTTTGCAGTCTTTTGCCCACCATATCATTAGACGCGCTTGCTTGCGCTTTGTGTTGATCATCCTGTGATAAAAAAAGTGCACACAAGTTCCTCTGTATCGATCGAAGCAGCTCAGACTGGGTTGTACACCATTGCTCGAGCTCGTTGGTACGTTTCCGAACCATAGCATACAGCGACGAACTCAAATATTGCAGTCAAAGTAACAATGGCAAACACTGGTGGCCCACGTCGGTTTCTCATCACCGGCGGGAATGGCTTCATTGTACGGGCCTTTTGTTGTTTACATGGAACAATGTTAAATTTGATGTTCACTAGGGGTCATATGTCGCAAAGGTATTATTTGAGAAGGGCTACTATGTTCGTATCGCAGATATCAAGCAGACCTCTTACTTCAATGAGCGCATCTCAAATGAGGTTCTCGTTGGAAACCTCTGCGATCTGGTGCAATCCACGAAGCAAATGATTTCGTGATTTACAATGACATCCAACCTCATACATGCCGCTGTACACCGGGGTGTCCAGCGTTTCTTCTATGCATCATCCGCCTGTGTTTATCCGACATCATTGCAGCACCACGGAACGAACCCTATATCCCTCTGCGAGCATGACGTATGGTCTTCTGGGGCCCAAACCCACGAGGCTTCTATGGTCTCGAAAAACTGAACTCCGAGTTGCTTCTGATGGAGTTTGTCGAGAAAATGCAGATACGCATTGTTCGATTTCATAATATCTTTGGCCCATATGGCGCGTGGGTTGGCGGGCATGAAAAAGTGCCTGCTGCACAGCTAAGAAAGGCGCTCGCTGCATACATGGATCCTACTGCACAGCATGAAATCGAGATCTGGGGAGATGGGAAGCAGCAGCGAAGCATCGACAATTGCGTCGAAGCGATTCTCCTTGAATCCGACTGTAGCGAACCAATCAACATTGGATCTGACTGTTCGGTGACCATCGATGATCTCACGAAAATTGCCGTGCAATCTGCAGGCATGGACGTAGGAGATGTCCGTTTCAGATACATGGATTATTCTCGTCCTGTCGGCGTCCATTCCCGCAATTCAAACAATGAGTTCATCACGAAAACATTGAGCTGGACTCCAAAGATATCCCTCGAGGCCGGTATGATGAAGACCGTGAACTGGATCAGAGGGGAAATGGAGAAGATGCTTGATGGCACTGATAAGACTGCCCGAACAGAACTTCTGAGCAGTTTCAGAACGAGCAAGGTCGTATACTTGAATCGTCCTAGCATTACATTCGCTATCCTACTCCCCATCACATCCCGTGGTCTCGAGGGACCCGAGAAGAGCCTCAAAAACCTTCGAACCTTCGCAAAATCCCTTGCACGCACTACTTGGCGTGACACCCGTGAACTTGGACTCGTCCACTTTCAGGTGAAGATATACCTGGGAATTGACGCCGACCACGAATTTCTCTTGCGTCGTGCGGGAAACGGCGAAATGTTAAACATCGAATTACTCTTATCAGAGGAGGGAATCATGGATGTTTCTACCGAGATCTGCAACGTACCCCACAGTCATGTATGTGCCATTTGGCGCCAGTGTGCACGTCGGGCTTGGAAGGAAAAGGCGGACTATTTCGTTCTAATGGGTGATGATGTCGTTCTCCTCGATGAAGGCTGGATGGGAGACATCCATGAACAGTTCACGCTGATTGCACAACACAAACATGTCCTTCAAGGTATGGGATGCGTCGCCTTCACAGATGTGACTTTTCCCGGAATGCCCACATTCCCCGTTATCCACCGCACTCATATGAATGCCTTTGGCAGCCAAGTCATACCCAATGTTTTTATTAATCAAGATGGAGACCCATTCCTCTTCCAGCTGTACCGCAAATGGGGCTGCTCCAGAATGATACCATCAAGACTTTGCAACGGCATTGGCGGAAGCCTACCTGCACGATATATCCAACAATATGCAGATGGATGGACGTTCAGTCCGTTGGCTGAGGCAGCTTCAGCACTGGAAACATCGTTGGCGACATCTTTCCCGGCCGCTATGTACTTGCAAAATCATTCATGACCTTGGACATCATCATTCCAAGCTACCGGGTTCTGCTCCCTTTCCTCGATGCCATCCTTGCCCTCAAGGGGTCTTCAACTTGTGAAACTATGTTCATCATCATCATCGACAACTCACACTGCCCTAAAACCACCGAGCTAGAAGCAAAATATGCCCATCGCCCAGACATCCGCATCAATGAAAGTAATTTTCGCGCCTTGGCGTCACGAAACAGGAATCTGCCGGTTCTATTCCTTGATGATGATGTCACACCTCAAGATGACATCCTGATCGAGGCTAAGAAAGCCATTCGTGCGAATCCACAGGCTGCTGGTTTCATTGGAAACACCTATTTCCCAGTTGCCAGCACTGTCTTCACCAATGCCGTTCATCTTGCTGGCGTGACTTACTTCTGGGACATCGCTGCAAAAATGCCAGAGAACGAGAGTGACATGCCCTGGGGTGTCACCGTGTCACAGTCAATCTCATCGCCCGCCGTGTTCAGGACGGTGTAGAATTTGACTTGCAGTTCCCGAAAACAGGCGGAGGAGAAGACATTGATTTCTGTCGGAAGAAGCGCGACTTCTCTGTTGCTCATGGGGGCGAAGGATTTTATCCTGCTCCTCACTCAGAGGGCTAGGATGGGCTGTCACAGTCGCCGAAAGTGCGCTGATCAGGATGGCGAGCGAGGGTGGGAGGTTGATCAGCCTGCTTGAGCGGGGAGAAGTTATGTTCATCGGGCATAGGTTTGACTGGTTTACAGGTAGGGCAGGAGATGGTCCGATGACGAGGAAATAATGAATGGACAACAGAGAATGGCACTGGTTGCTCTCATTTTTGGGTGTGTTGTGTTTCAGGTTTTGCTACTAGTGATGGGTCCGTCAGTTTGATCCGTGCTGGGCTTCTACTCATCCTTTCTCTGAGTCCGTGCGCCTGTTGTGATTGTTGTTGTACGATAAGTATCATTCTAGGGGTACCCTTTTTCTGAGTCCGCATGTTTGATGATTGATGTACCATATGTATCGGAATTTTAGCAGTTGGATATATCATTACTCTAGTATCAGGTGAGCAAGTAGAGAAAGATCTAGTTCCATGCACTATGAAAGGTGCATGTAGTGAATGAGCTTGAGAAAGCACGTGAGGAAAGGCGTTGACAAGGCGCCCAAAAGTTTCAAGCGACCACAGCCATCAATCATAATGGAAACGCAGTACGAAGGACCTCCCACAAGACAGATTCACGATCCGGGAGCTCGGCCCTGAATCAGCTCAACAGTTGGGTGCAGAGGGGGAGCGAGGAACTGAACACCTGGTGTAGTTCTATGTAGCAGAATGAGAGAACAGCGAAGGTGGCTCAAATTACTTTCCAACTCCGGTTAGATACTCTGTACAAAATATGCTGCTATACATCTCGGCGCAGCGTAGATTTTATCTATACAAAATATGAATGAGAGCACTGCCGAGGTAAATTGTAATACATATGCAAATGCGATAGAGCGATGGGTGTTGAAGACCACAAGAAAACAAAAAACTACGTGAAATCTGTCGAGTGATCCCAATAGATACTGGTGCTTACAAGGAACTCCGTACGACGTCAGTAGCGGGCGATATGACAGCCACCAATACTGAAATATCTGCAGACTCTTGAGAACAGTGCAAGTCTTAAAGTCAATAAACGCACCATCTATCTTGCCGCCTCTGAATGGTTTGCCTGATTCCCTTGCACGACATGCAAACGGCACCTCATCCTCCATATCAAACACGCCGTCCTCAATTCCTCGCCCCCTTCTCTCGCTCACGCGACGCGCACGTGAACAGAGCGCCTCGCTCAGCATGCCTGCTAGCGTTCGACGGCCCAAAAGACCCTCACCACCCTCCCCGTTACTCTTTAGGAAAGACCGCTTGAACCGTACTACTTCGTCCAGTACCTCATAATCCCACAAGTTATCAGAGAGCCCGTCGGAAGCGAGAATGAGGATATCGTCTGATTGGACTGGGAGGCTGAGGATCTGGGCGTCTAGAGGGCGTGCAGAGGATGCGGGACCGAGCTGCACAGGTGTGTTAAAGGCTGTCCACATCTCTTTGCTGCGCCAAGCGATGTTCTCGTCGCGCACCAGCATACCCATGCAGTCTCCGAGATGGGCGATCTTGAGTACTGCGTCATGAGTTTCTTTGCGAGATGCTGTATCTGGAGGATTCTGGAAGATGAATGGGCGGGGTGGGGAGGCAGCTGGGGGAGGCGTGCTGGAAGAGTGTTGGAGGACTGCGACGAGCGCTGTTGAAGAGCCTGTCATGAGGGGAATCATCTTTGGAAGGGAAATTTCTGGTGCGTGTGGGGTGGACTGTGGGGAATCTGCAGAGTTGGTAAGAGGTGCTTCCTCAGGTATGGATTCGAGTCCTGGAGATAAGGCTGCCTTCGTAGGCGGACAGGGAGGCTCTGGAATAACATGAGCCTTGAGAGTGGTCTCATATGCACGTTCGAGGATCATTAGGACATCCAGTCCGTCTTCAAGATCCTCTAAAGAGTCTTCGAGCTCTTCATGAAGCTCGTCTATTTTGGCCTTCCAGGGCCATGCAGCATTGTGGGCCGTGGATGCCGGATGCCGGTGGGGTGATTTGGACCGAGGAGGGGATGCATCTCGGCGACGGAATGATAAGGTCTCGGCTTGGAGGGCCTCTGCCGAACAGTGGTGCATTAGTCGGCGGGCAAATAATGCACTAGGTGATGGATTTGTGGAGATATGCTTTGATGAAGCAACGTCTGAGACATATGGATAAGAATACGAAGGATCTGATGAAAGTGTTCAAACATACCAGGTGTCTTGGCTCTTGACCAACCCCCAACACCATCTGCAACGCCCATAGCATTTTCCTGTATAAAATAGGCATCCTCACCAACTTGGACGGCGAAACTGAGATCCTCTTTCTGAGGGTGAGGGTCAATCTTTCGCCAACTATTGTTATTGCTATTGCCGCCGCCTATGACTATACCTCTCCCTGAGACTTGGGCTTTGGTCTTCTTCGGTATGCCATAAGCGCCGACATCCAGATGGTAGCGAACCTTTTGTTTCCTTTCTCGTGGATGAGAGTCAGTGACGGAGTCTGCGACGGCGATATTGTAAAAGGGTATCGGCGCGAACGGTGAGTAAGGAAAGAAAGAGGAAGATTGGTGTGAAGGAGGAGTGTGGGGAGGGGAATTTGGGTTTGCCTGAGGTGATGTTAGAGCCAAGGAGAATGGGGGCTGTCCGTGTGATTGATGGGCAGAACCCTCGCCCTCTGCCTTGACAGGAAGGCGGGATGTTGAGAGAACGTGGGGTTTGCTAGGCTGTGGCTGAGGTGGAGGCGGTGAGTCAAAAAAAGCAAGTGGACTGGAGGAATTGGTGGGCGCATTGTAAAGAGAACGAGCAGAAGGCGTTGAACCAGATCGTCGACGGGAAATTGGGGATGTGGAAGGTGAAGATGCAGATATGGAGCGGGGAATGACAGTATAAAAACGCTTTTGAAAGGTCTTCATCGTTGGACCTGGTGCACTCATGTTGAGCAGAGCGTCGTGCTCGATGAGCAGAGACTATTGTTGTTGTACTTGATACAAGTATTGATGGAGGATGTGAGAACACCAAGTGCGGGGCTTGACCGGAAGAACTCGGGTGGTGTCCGGATCGTCTTTACCCCAGGAGGTCACAAGTCAAATTCACACGTTTTGATTGGTCGAGTGCAGCTACCATGACTTAACACCCTTGAAACCTGTAGGCCTCATGTACCCACCCCTAATTGTTGGATGATACGAGTCGGGTATAAGTTGGGTGTTGGATGATACAAGTCGGACTTGTGGCATGCATGACTCCAGTCCCGGAGGATTAGCCTCCAGGTGTCTTTTTGTCTTCTTTTCCTTTTCTGCATCCTTATCGCATCTTGTCAGCTTCGGCACAATATGCTCACCGGTAGCTTCTTCCATTTCGAACCCTCCATTGTTTTACATTTAAATATCTTGCTTGTGCACAGTGTACCCTCAGTGTTCTCTATCACATCTGCTGAGGTATGTATGCCACCACTTGCTGTTAGTGATGTGCACGGCCTGGCTTGAGGCCCTGGGCTGGCCCAAGCTGGGCCCAAATAGGCCGGGCCCAGCCCAGGCCCACGTCATGGCCTGAGGAAGGCTTGGGTTTCGAGAAGCCTGAGCTGCCGGCCTGAGCCATGGCTTTGGCATGTTTAGTGGCACTGCCATAGAAGCCTTGCCGGAGGTACGTTTCCTGACTCTATTTTTGTCTTTCTTTGACTTCCATCAACTCTATCAGCTTCGACTCGGATGGTCCACATGTTGCAGTCAAAAAGCCTGCATTGGCTAACATATCCAGCAATTTCAATGCCTTATCTCTTGTCTGTTGCTACAGAAAAGCCATGGTGAGCTGCCAGTGCCATGTCCTGTGCTTCGCGAGCTTGACATAACTCACTCCGCTGTTGGAAAACCAGATCTCAGTTTCACAGATCAATATTTCTCGTAAATTTGAAGCCTTTTTTGCTTCACCTTCACAAGTGATTGTGATGGCGCACCCAATATCTTTCAATTGATTCATGTCGGTACATGTCCCTCTAACATCCCTACTTACTACCCACCCATGACAAGCACAGATGACGAGCACTGTGTTGCATGTCCTGTGCATAAAACAAAACCCACAGCCACCCTTCTTCAGCATGCCGAGAAGGCAGCATTGCCATCACAAACCAAGGTGATCAATGAGTTTCATGCTGCAGAGGCTGCTAAGCGCGCTGCTGAACATCTATCCCCCGAAACCACAGAATCTCTATCCACCTCTCCCATATCATCATCGCCATCTGCTGTCGACACCCACAAAAGGGTGCATGCACCCTGAAGACTCTGACAGGGAACCTAGTGATGACGAGCGTGAAAATGCACGTACTAATCCCAAGCCTTGAAAGCAGCGCAAAATGGCTGCTGTCCCAACTGAACCAGAATTGGTTGACGCTGACGGTATTCTAATCGATATCAACATTCAATCTCTCATGGAACCAGTGTTGATGCAAGAAGCCAAAACTGCCGACATCAACACTTTCTTTGGTGCTACCTTTGATCATGCAGGGGCCAATGGGAAGGTGAAAAAGCACAGAAAGTGCAAGACGTGCCCATAGGTGTGCTCACTTGTATTCATACTCACACACTGATGCATGCTCAATAGGAAAGCATGTATTCTTGTTAATGAAATATCTACCCTCCATCGTCATGCTGAGGCAAAGTTCCCTGGCAAGTATCGGAAATGGGCCAAAGAACATTCATTTCAGTCAATGCTTCCTGGTGACGTTAAGGCCTGCAAGCACAAACAGCAGAGCATTAATGCACATCTGACTGAGCGGAAGCTCGCTGAAAAAGTGGTTTCATATTCAGATAAGTTGTTCAAACAGGCTGCAATTGAGTGGCTTGTGGCCACTGACCAGGTACTGTGTCTCTCTTCTACAGAACTGTATTAATGTCTCTTTATCTAGCCAATTCAAGCACTCGAGCATCTGAAGTTCAAAGAAATGATTGATGTCGCTGCTCGAGCAACCAATAGGCATCAAAATTCCAGGCAGGAAGGCAACTTGTGCAGAGATAGTGAGAACATTCAAAGCTCATCTTATGGGACTCAGGAACACACTCAATGTAAGTAATATTTATGATATTGCTCTATCTACTCAACTAATGGGAGATAAATGTAGGGTGCCACTGTTCAGGGTGCTATCAATACCACCTGTGATGCATGGCCTCATTCATAGCATTTGTCTGCGAAGCGAAAGGAGCTGTACCAGAATGTTCAGACCAATGGGAGGTGTGTCTCAGCCGACGCAACTGCTGATTGACATGAAGGTTCGGTGGTCCTTAACTTATATTATGCTTAACTGTGCAGAGATGAATAAGGAGCACATTGACACTTTCATATATGAGATGGGTCATCAGGAGCGTGATTTGGCTAGACGCGTGAAGATTGACTTTCTGCAGCTGTCAGAAGTTGAATGGATGCATGTTGGGCAGTTTGCTGATCTTCTCTTGGTGCGTTAATTTATATTTGTTTGAAGTTTGCTACTTATCTTGGTTTTACAGTATGCTGACATGGCCCAACAAGCTTTCTCATCTGAACGAGGTTCGACCTTACACCTGGCGATTCTGGCACTCGAAACTCTCCATAAGGCTTGGTCATTGCATGCAGAAAGGTTAAAATATGCGCAGTTTGCTCCCGTGCTCAAAGATGCAGCAGCCAAAGTGGATGAATATTATGAGAAGACAACACACTCCGCTGCATACATATTGTCAATGTGTACATTGTTTATTTTTTGTGAACAACTGTGAGTCTGACAATTGCACTTCAGTACTTGACCCCACAGGGAAAATGGCCTATTTCAAGAAGCATTGGCCAGAGGATCTGCATGACAGCATGATTTCTACTGTGGAGACAGTGGTGAGTCTTTTTTTTTGTCGGTATCAAGTTAATCTAAATGTGCTACTATTAGTTTAAAGCTCGTTATCTCAAGTTGAACCAAGTGACATCATCGACCTCACAGAATGCAACTAAGCTAGGCAGAGCTGGCAGTCTCAAGAAGTTAATTCGCGAAGTCCTCAGTGACTCCAAAGATGATTCATCAACCAACCCAGCACCTACCTTCAATTGGTGACCCAACAAGACCATGGAGGGCTGAGTTTTTGGCCTACCTTGAGATGGTTGAAGCGGCTCCACCATCTGGCTTGTCCACCATTCAATGGTGGGGGGTATGTATTTTTTGTTACTCAGAAATTTCATGCTAATGATAATCTTTGCTTAAGATCAATGCGCAGAGGTACCCCATTTGGGCTTCACTTGCGTGGGAATATCTGTCAATCATGTCATCATTGGTCTCGAGCAAGCGGGCGTTCTCACAAGGTGGCATCACCATCACCAAACAGCGCAACTGGCTCAAGGCTGACGTTGTCAAAGCACTCCAGTGTGTTAAATGTGCGCTATGACATGATCTTCTGTTCCAGGGAGCCTGAACCATTGTCTCTCATCGAGTTGGAGTACCTGGACAACAATGACGAAGAAGCGGAAGTGGGAGCAGAGACTGGTGGTGCTGTGGATGAAGAAGAAGGTTGGGACATTTTGCTTTTGGGTGATGATGCTGACTGAGGACGTGTCAGATGTTGAGACGGACATTTAGACACATTGTGATTAGCCTACCACTAATGTTTGATCTGTCTGTTGGCTTCCCAAAGCTGCTCTGTCCGTTGGCTCCCCCAAGCCACGGCCTGGTTGGGCCCAAGCCACGGCTTTGGGCTGGCTTGGGCTCACAGCCTAGGCTCAGAATTTTTGTGAGCCTAAGCCCCTCAAAGCCGAGCCTAAGCCGGGCCGGAACATCACTACTTGCTGTATCTAGTCTTGCTAACATATAACCTAGACTCTGTCTAGGTAAATCTAATTCAGTGTTCTCTATCATGTCCACTAAGACTCTGTCTAGCTCCTACAAGCCAAACCATGGCAAGCTGATTTTATGAAGTATGTATATGGACACATTGGAGGCAGCACCTTCACCTGGGATGAGCACCATTCAATGGTGGGGTGTATGTTCCATCCATTTTCTCACTGTTTTATGTTACTTACATTTCCTTCACACAAGATCAATGCCCAGAGATATGGGCCAGTGTGATCTTCAATTGCACGAGACTATTTGTCAACTATGGCATTGTCCATCTCCAGCGAGCACACTTTTTCTCAGGGTGGGATAACCATCAGCAAACACTGCAATCACCTCAAAGGGGACATCATTGAGGCCCTCCAGTGTGTAAAATGTGCTATCTGCCATGACCTCCTCTTCCATGAACCAGGGCTGTCATCCCTCATAGAATATGAACTTGATGAGTTTGAGATTGAAGAGGAATCTGGTGAGAAGTTTGAGGTTGAAGATTGTTGAAAACTAGTATGAGGACACACTCAGTGTTTGGGAAGAACAACTGAGGTATGAACGAGTGAAATAGAATGACTATAAGTACTGACACACGTGACAATATGAAAAAGGAAAATAACAAAGACAATGACATCTATGATTCAACACACCTCCACAACAACACGTTGTTGCAACTAACGCATGACGAGTGACAATCCAGATTGATGATGAAGGTATAGTGGACAAGGTAGGCACTTTGTGAAAAGATCTGCAATGTTCTTATGAGTCAAGAGCCATTCAGGCTTGAATATACCATCTTCAATGTGAGCACAAATGAAGTGGTAACATAGATCAATGTGTTTCATTCGAGTGTGATTGGCAGCTTCCTCTGACAAAGCGATGGCTCCAGTGTTATCAGTGAAGAGGTGAAGAGGGAGAGTAAATGGAATTTTAAGACACTCAAAGAACAAGAGGAGCCACAGTCCATCTTGGATGGCTGCCATAAGGGCCATATACTCAGCTTCAGTGGAAGATAGTGCATGCATGAGTTGTTTCTTCGAGGAATGAGAAACTGGTCTGCCGTTAAAAAACCAAACATAGCCCGAGATTGAGATGCGATCTTCAGGACTG